AGTTGTGGACGCTTTTGTGGGCCAATAAATGCCCAGGAGATACAACGGGGATGTAGCTCAGATGGTAGAGCGCTCGCTTAGCATGTGAGAGGTACGGGGATCGATACCCCGCATCTCCAGGATATTTGTAATTTTTTATATATTATCTTTTTTTTTTAATTACTAAGCAATTCTGAGTGATTTCCCATTTTTATTTTTTTCTCAATTGCAGGCTAATAAAGTGATGGATCTGCCGCTGCTAGCAACTGGCCAGTCCGTCATCGCCATTAAGGCTACCAAAGAGGGCGCTCGCAATATAATTATATTGGGCTGCAAGGGAAATGTTGTGCTGTTGCACGATGCGGCAACTGGTTTGCTGTTGCGACGTCTTAGCATGCCCGACGGCCTCAATGTTTACAGTCTGCTGCTGCTTGATGGCCATCTCTTCTGTGGCACCCAGAAGAATGAGGTGTTCAAGTTCGACTTTGCCGTGAGTAATATCTAAAGACTAAGCTTCTATTTGTGAACTGATCTATTATATTTCTAATTTGTAGACTGGTTTGGTGACCAGCACATTCACTTGCGGCAATGGTGCCGTTACCATGGCGTTGTATAAAGAGAATTACTTGCTCATTGGCTGCTACGATGGCTACATCTATGTGCTGAACAAGGAAACTGGCTTGCAACTGGGTCGTTTCCCTGGACCTGGACGTTTGGTGCTTGCTCTGGCCCTAGCTGGCGATAAGGTAAACTTACTGTGCATTCGTAATGAAAATGCCGCAATTATCACTATCTTTTTCTTTACCTTCATCCAGGCCATCGCCTCGTCAAAGGACAATGCCCTGGAGATACTTCAAATACCGCCAGAATTGTTGGCCTACGACCAGTCGACTTAGAATAAGATATATTTTTGAAATCGTTATAGTTTTTACAATACTTTTTAAAATAATTTGTCAAGTTATGTTTTCTTTTCTGTATTTACAATTGAATATGTTTTAAGTTAAAGCTCCGTAGTATTGTGTTAGCGAGCATTTTGATTATGAAGAATATTTCTTCCCCGCTTACCAAATTACTATATAGAAAACCATGTCATAATAATGAAGAAAATATATATGTATATATATATAAATATGTGTGTATTGCATAAGCATGTGTTTGATGTTCGATGCGGATAATAAGGAATACGTATTTTTCTTCATGCGGGATCTTAAGGAATTTGTGGCACTCGCACTGGACGCACATTCGTTTGCATTTGGTGCAGTTTCTGGTTGAGCTTGTGTGTATGATCTCGCAAATAGGCAATAAGGTCGGCTTGTTTCTCAAGAAGCTCTGCTGTATCACCACCGGGCTGCATGAGACCCAACGAGCCGCCGGCACGATCAGCTCCACGTAAAACATCTGGCGACAGCTTGGCCTTGTTGAATTTACGCACCTTATCTGCGGAACGATTGTAAAACATGAATATAACATATAGATACACACAATTGTAAGAAACACGAACCTATATAGCAGCCATGGGTGACAGCAAGCACCAAGTTCTCCGCCACATTGAAAGTAGTTACATAGCTTATGGGCGAAAGCCAGCCGGATGCGCAATGCGTATAAAACTCATCGCCGTAATAGTGATGGATCAGTGCCTGTACAGCCAACAGCATTGAGTTCCACAGCGACACTATTTGCAGTGGAATGCCTTTTTGCATGTTCGTCTCTCGGTGGAAGTCATGATAGCCACTCAGGCGCAAGTTGTCATGCTGTTTCTTAACAATATGATCGAAAATCTGTAAGCAATGAGAGAATTGGTCAAAAGCCATTCGATATTGAGGACTTTGCACTTACAAATGTGATCACCCAGAATGTGGCGCGTAGGTAAAGCATTATAAAGTAGGCCTCGCAACGGCGATCCTCGGGAAAGAGCACCGCGAGACCAATGCCCACAAACGAAATTATTGTCGAGATAAGCAAATGTATGCTAGCGAAAATTAATGCCCATAGAATGAATAAAACTCATTAGTATATGATAATTGAGTTGCGCAGCTCAGCAGACTCATCACCCCTTTTGAGAGTGATTCATAGCTACATATGCCGGCGTCGCACATAGTACACACCTGAATGCGGGCACAGTTTTCAACTTAAATGAACCATTGTTGTCCGAGAACAATACAGGATCGAGCAATTCCTCTGTGTCCTGGTTGTGGCCATGCTGTCCACTGGGCTGTATAGCTGCGCCTGTTGCTTCATTATCCATTTTTTGTTTGCCTTCTGTGTTTTATTGATGTTAACTGCGCAGCTCCTAAAGCAAATTTGCTTTGTTTGTTGTTTGTTGGCGGTGCATCAGTGAATGACACTCACACGGCGTTGCCAGACAGCATCCAGGGACTTCATTTGATATTCAGCAACTATCGATATTTCTATTTCTAATTGGATTTTCAAATCATGACAACTTAGATGACGCAAATTAATTTTATGTAATTTGACACAAAACTTTTTTTTTATTTGAAAATATATTTTCGTAAAACTTATTTATAACAATTCAATTTCTCACAAATTTATATATTTCCAAATTTATTTAAATCGATTCAACATAAATTTATCGAAGGGACAATTTAATCCCTTCGGTATATCGATATAGTCAATGACAACTCTGAAAAGTATAAAACAATGCGAGGGATTTGTTGTTGTACAAATTCAAATTGAATTGTAAATTTTTTTTTTAAGTTGCTTAAATACAACTACGGGCTACAAATGACTACACCTGCCCCACGCCATGTTAGAGATTTGTTAGCATTTGGTACGGATTCAGAAGATGAATCTGATGCGAGTCAAGTGAATAAGAGAAAAGTGGAAGCATTGTAAGTTGTTTACAGAAACTGAATAATTGCCTTGTTAAATTCCATCAATTAATTGTAGCGACAATGGCAACAAAGAGAATGAAGACCAGCCCAAAGCAGTACGCCATCAACTGGTCAAGGAAAACAGGCCTGCAGCACCTGCAGCTAAGGTCTTGTTGTAAGTACGCTTCCTTATTTAAGGGTGAAGGCAATGTCTGTATTTCAGATCATTTCCGCTTACAGTCCCAGACGCCGAGCCGAGTTGACAATGATGGACTCGGACAGTGATGATGAGGACAATAAGAACGATCATAATTTGAACTGCGCCATTCTCAACGACTCCTTTGTGCTAAGTCCCATGCACGAGCTGACCAGTAGCAACACGGGCATTCCTTCCAAAACTCCGGGTACTCTGCGGGCGAGTGACTCGAATTTGTCGTTTCTTGGTCGGTTTGGGAACATGGGCATCAATTGCAGCACCAGCACTAACACTGCCAAATCGTCACCTGCACAAGTGGAACAGGAACCACAACCAATGGAGATGCCAACCAAGAAACCAGCGCCCCCGACACTGCAAATAATTACGGAGCAACGCAAGGCTGTGTCTACCAAAACGCCGATGCGCACTTCCCTAGCGCCGTCTCTGAAGAAACAACCTAAACCAGAAACGGAATTCGTAACGCCGCAGGTTTGCAGTCTTGCCACAAGGCAAAACACGCGCACACAAACCACACAAAAGACCCGCAATGAGCTGGCCAATGAGTTTCGCTCACAGAAGGTGCTCTTCCAGACGCCCATGACGGTGAGCCGGGCTGCGCCCTTTACAAGCGACAGCCTTAGCTTCTCCCTATGCGACACCATCAGTGAGAGTCCCGATACGCCCGCTCAACCACCGCCAAGGGTAGAAGCCCCTATCACCGGCAAGTCGAAAAAGTCCCTCGAATCTGAGTTTCGTCATGCTGAGCAGGAGAAGCCTGAAGTGCCCTTGTCAGTGCCGGCTGCTCCCGCTGCTACGCTGCCTGACAAGCCGGAACCAGCCTCAAAATCAAATGTGCTCCAAATCAAAAACCATGTGTACCACATAATTAGGAAGCTCGGCTGCGGCGGATCAAGTTCCGTTTATTTAGCACGACGCAAGGATACGGGCCAGGAATTCGCGCTTAAAGTGGTTGATCTACAGGCCGATCCGGTAGTGGTGCAGGGCTATCTCAATGAAACCAAGTTGCTCGAAAAGCTTCAGGGCAATGTATGCGTTGTGTCGCTCTATGACTAGTAAGTAATCATACATGAGTGTTTCAGATCATTAAATCATCATTGATCATTCCATTCCACTCAGTCAACTGTTGCGGCAAGAGTCCAAACTGTATATGGTTATGGAGAAGGGCGACTGTGACTTGAACAAGATCTTACAGGGATTCACAACCAACCTACCGCTTTATAATCTGATGAACATACTCTACCAAATGCTGCAGGCAGTCAACTATATACACCAGAATGGAGTAATTCACTCCGATTTGAAACCTGCCAACTTCCTCATGGTTAACGGCCGGCTGAAGCTCATAGACTTCGGCATTGCCAGCAACATTGCCGTGGACTCGACGAGCATAATTAAGTTTTCACAGGCTGGCACATTCAACTACATCAGTCCGGAAGCACTCACGGACATCTCCAGCGGATCGAGTCCAATGCGCGGCAGCAATCAGCCCAAGATAAAGATTTCCACAAAATCGGACGTTTGGTCGCTCGGCTGCATTTTGTATCTGCTGCTGTATCAGAAGACGCCATTTGGTCACATTAGGAACATCAATGCAAAGATGAGCGCGATCGCCAGTCCCGCCACAAGCATCGAGTATCCGGCCTTACCAATTTACTATCCGCTCATGTTGGTGCATGTGAGTATATATAGCTTGTATTAAGTAAATTTAGAAGTCGAACTAAGCCCATTATCGCTTCCATGCAGATGGTCAAGAACTGCCTACAGCTGAATCCGAAAAAGCGGCCCTCGTGCGTGGACCTGCTTAAGTATCCATTCCATATGGTAATACCCTTACAGAATCTACAATTGGAATCCAAGCGCTGAATTATACAAATGTATTCGAATATGTCCTCATTTAGTAATAAGTTCCAGTAATAATTCCATTGTTTTCTACACACATTTTATACGAATGAAACACAGAAATAAAATGCACTGAATTTTCATATGAGTGTGTGTGTGTATTTAATTCTCATTTAGCATAAATTATACATCATTAGTTGTTATAATGCAGCGCCCACATCGGTTTAAGGAGACGCCAGCGTTCAGTGTTAATCAATAACAATGCTGAATTTGCGACCTGTTTTTGTTTTTGCTTTAATTTGTTTTTTCTTTTCCTAATTTAACTTTATCGTAATGCAACAAGTATTGACATTAATTGCTAATTTGCTTTCCTTTCGTAACCTTCGCACAACAATTTGTTTGAGTTTGTGTTCATTTATAATTTGCCTTTACTTATATACTAAGTTTATGTTTTTGTTTTTAATCATTTATTATATGTATATAAAAATAGTTTTTGTTGTTTTTTTTTTACTTTTTTAATTATTATATTTTTGTTTTTTAGATTTTTATTTATCATATGCTTAATTAAATGTTGCTGTTGTGGGCTTAACCATTTGCTCTACTAACATATTTACTGCTGCGGCTACATTGAATACTTTGCGCTGTTTACAAAATTAAACGAACAGAAGATACAAAATAAATCAGTTGCACATACAATTTTTCTAACGGAACATAGTACACTCTAAAAGGAATTTCTTATTGGACATTCACAGTTGCTAAATGTGTGTTCTAGTTGTTTATCTTTGTATGATTTTAGTGAGTCGCTGTGATTTAAGTGGACTTTCGATTCAGTTGCTTAACATAATGAAACAAACAAATCTTTAAATATTAGCGCGCACTTTTTAGTGGTTCATAAATGCAGGTAAACACAAATAATATAGCATAATATAATATAATATAGTAATATATATGTATATATATATATATGTTTGTGTGTGTATGTGTTCATATAAATAATCAAAATTACAAACAATCGATTTGTATAAATAGGTGTGTGTGTATGCATGCAGGTGCAACAGCAGCAATTTGTGAGCGTGGGCGTGGTTTCAATTGCACGCTGCTCCTGCCTAAGCAGCAAGTCCTAACTACAGACGGGCAGCTAACAGGCTATATATGTATATGTGTATACTCATCAATTTGAATAATATTAATTCATTCCTTCGCTTCACATTTAGATGTTCAACATTGCACAAGTTTTGTTTGCTTGTTTAGTTTATGTATATGTATATGTATATATATATATAAACATAAAACTTTAAAGCACTACTTAATTTCATTATTTTTTCTACTTTAAAATGTTAAATGTTGCTGTTGGGCTCGTTTAATATTTACTGTTTTTTCCGTTTTTGTTCCACCTATTTTGTAGTTTTGTAGTTGTGTTTTTTTTTTTTTTTTTTTTTTTTTTTCGTTTTTATGTTTTTATATATTTATAATATTAACTTTAAACTTAATAGATTGTTAGAATTGTTTTTGTTGTTGTGGTTTTTGGGAAGTTCGACAAACGTTGTGATTGCTGTCAATTATCGTTGTGGTTCTGCTGTTTATTATCAAGGGCGGCGATCCAACACGACGACATTAAATGTCCTAAAATAACCACAGTTTAATTAAAAATTGAGCATAAAGAGAATTTAGCGAGATTTGCTCACCTGTTCACCGTTTGAGGCATGCTGCTGCAACTTGGATATGAGCTGCTCCTTTTGGCTAACAATGCCGCGCCAGTGCTCATCCTGCTCGCGGGCCCGCTGCTCCAAGTCCACCAGAGTGTTGCTCTACATAATGAACATGTTATTCATGTATTTTGATTATCATTAACTCAGGCGGTCGAGCTTACCGTTTTGGTGACCAGCTGCGTGAGCTCATCGTTTCGCTTGCGCAGCTTCAGGTTCTGTGTGTGCAGCTCCTGCTGCTCGGCAGCACTAGCGGAGAATTTACTATTCGAATTACTATTATTGCTACTAATATTGTTGTGGCTGCTGCTATTGTGATCGCTGCTACTGCTGCTGTTTGATTGCGTGGACTTATTACTACTGTTTGTTGCAGCTGCTGCTGCAGCGGCTGCCTGTTGCTGCTTGATGTGTGTGGCGAGCACCTGCTGCAGCCACTCCTCAAACGAAGTGCTGAGTGCGCTGGCGGCATGTGCCTTGACAGCATCGGGATACAAGCGCTGGTACAGCTCCCGGATACGCTGCTGCTCCGCCTTGGCTGAGTTGGCGGACGCACGGCTCAAGTCCTCGCCATTGGCAGCGGCCGCCTGTTGCTGTTGTTGCTGCTGCTGCTGCAACTGTTTCTGTTGTTGCTGCAAATTCAGAAATTAGATTTGCAATTAAAATTTGCAGCTTGGCTAGAATTACCCACATAGGTTAGTGTGAAATAGCGAGAGCCGTTTGACTTACAGGTAGAGGAGCTGGTTTGTTGTCATTGCTTATTAATTATTTTATTCACAACTCAAACAAATTTCAAACACTTTACAAACTATACAATCAAATGGTAAATCAAATGAAAAGAATCAAATTATAACAATGTTGGAGTGCGTGCACTTACGCCTACGTTTTGCGCTGTATTTGTTTTCGTCTTTGCTGTTGTTGGGGATCTGGCGGTTGCTTCGGCATTTTGCAACGCTTCAATCAACTTCCAATTTTTCATACGAATTTCCTGACGAAACACAAATACGTGGCAATTAGTATCAAAGCGGGATGAGAGGATTAACACAAACAACGAAAACAAAGCTCATCAGGGAAAATCGTATAAAGAAGAGATTAGTTTACTAAATGTTAATGTGGACTTCTAAAATATTAGTTAGTATAATAATTGGTTATCAAGACATCAAATATAAAATAAGAAAGCTCTAGTCGGTAGTGTCCGAATAGAAAATACCCTCCATATTCATAAAATCGGAGGTTCATTTGTTCATTTCTAGCATAAGCTTATGCTAGATTGTTTAAAATAATTTGTAAATTATCAATAAATATTTTTCCTCATTTTTGAGATTTTAGAATTCTCTGTACATTTTAGCTTAGTTTTATAATATTTAAATGAACCAGGAAATAGTCGGCAGTCTACGACAATCAAAATTGATAAGCCTGTTCCGTTCATGTCAATTCATATTTTATATATACATATATACATAAATTATAGTTTTTATTGTAGTTAGTGCGGTCAAGCGGACGGACGGACAAATGACTCAGCTCATTATCTCATAATAAGCCTATGAAAATGGGAAATATTTGGGAATAATGATTTTGTTAGCATGGTAGGCAGAAGGAGGCGTGGTCGATCCCATCACGTATATACAGTTAGTTTGTCTAGTGCTCTAAACTTAGTTATTAGCACTCACATTATTCTTCTCGCGCTGCTCCTGCAGCTCCTTCTCCAGCTGGCGCTCCCTATCCTGCAGCTTCTCGGCGCGCTGTTGCGCCTCCTCGAGCTGGGACCGCAGAGCGGTTGTCTGTTGCTGTTGCGTGGCTTGGCTATCGGTCAAGGTGCGCAACTCTGACTGTAGGTTAGTTAGGGCCTCGGCCTGCACCTGGGCCTGCTCCGATTGCTGTGCGGAGGCCTGCACAGCCTGTACGGCCTGGCTGTTCGCTTGGCTGAGCTGCTGGGTAAGGCTGGCATTGGTGGCTTCCAGTTTGGCCGCCTGCTGGCGCAGCTCTTGCAGCTCTGTGTTGCGGACGCGCGCCAGTTCGCCCTGTGATTGCACAAGCTCGGCCTTGGTGGACTCGAGAGCATTGTTTAGGTTGCGCAGCTCCTCTTTGATTTCGGCATTCTCGGTTTCGAGCTGCCGGCGCTGCTCCAGCTCAAAGACGCTGTTGTTGAGGCGAGCCTCCAGCTCGTCGCGCTGCTGCTCCACTGCGAGCAGCTGCTGTGCGTGCTGCTGTATGACTTCGTTCTTCTGCTGCACCTCGGCATTCACAAAGCTGGTCATATCCGCAATGACCTTCTCTTTGTGCGCCAGGTCCTGCTGCAGGCGTTGCAGCTGCAGCAACAGATCCTGGGAGCTGGCCTGCTTTTCACGCAACAGCTTCGCCTGGAATTGTTGGCGCTCCAACGCCAGCTTCTCATTGGCACTGGCTAACTCCTGGTTAAGTGCTGCCAACTCCTGATCCTTGCTCAACAGCTTCTCGTTGTATGCCTGGCAGCGATTGTGTATCTGGGCGCGCTCGGTGTTAATCTCTTGGCGGAGTTCACGCAACTTGGCTTGGATGCCGATCGAAGCTTCCTGTTCCTCCGCCAGCTGCTTTTCCTTTTCGTCCAGTTGACGCTTCAGTTTCTGGCATATGTCATCCGACCAATCGCCGTGACTGGCGGGCATATCCTGTTGCCTGTTGAGCAGATACTCGATGAGCATTTGGATCTCGGAACGATTCAACTCGGCCCGCGAAAAGACATTCATCAGAGCCGACACACCAATAGTCTGATTCTCGGCGAGTTTGTCCAGTGCCTGCACGAGATCCTTCACGCTCAGCGACGTCTCCTTCTGCTTCTTGCCCGCATGCTGTTGCTGTTTGTTGCTCTTGCTATTCACGTTATTGTGCTGCAGCTTGGGAGAGCCTGTGGACTGCTGCTTGAGTATGATTTGCTTGGGAACGTGTGGCACCTCCACGGGCTGTTCCATGGCAGCGCTGAGCAGAGCTGGAGCGGCGATGGGCTTCTCCTTTTTGGCAGCGTTGCCGTTTTTCTTTTGTGCCTGTTGCTTGGTGCTGTTGTTGTTATCCTCCTTGCGTTCCTTCTGCTCCTGCTTCTTCAGCTCCACCACATCCTTTGGCGCACGAACCTCAAAGTTGTTCAAAGTGGGTGTTTCCTCCGCAGTTACCGGCCTGACAGCCACGGCTTCGTTCTTGTTCACCAGAATGCCAACAGCTGCCTTGGGTCCTGAGCCATTGCGCTTATCCTTTTTGCCTTTCTTGTTGTTATTGTTGTTGGGCTGGTTTTCCTTTTCGGCACTGCTGGGTCGGCGCTGCGGCTCATTTAGAACCTCTGGATCAGGATCGAATTCCACATGCTGCTTGGACAATCCGGGCTGTGCCGATTCCTCTTCCACACCAACTGAGCCCTGGCCCTCTGAATGGCCATCGGAATAGTCATCTTGCTCCTCCTGGTCGTTGTTGCTGGCATTGTCCTTTTGCTGCTCTCGCTGGCGCTGCTTCTTTTCACGTTTTAGCTCCTTCTTCTTCGGTTTGCGCTGCGACGATGCATTGCCTCCGCTTTTGTTCTGCGCATACAAATTGGCGCTCAGTGCCCGCTTCTCCGCCACAACTTCCTCAAAGGTCTTGCGCCTGAAGATCTTGTTGATGAACAAAAAGGACAGCAGCGATGCGCCGATCACACAGCCAATGACGATCAGTATGTGGAAATCCATATTTGCATACTTTGCCGGCAGCAGTTGATATTTGTGTGAAGAGCGCAGTTGTTATTCTTTTGTGAATTGCTGTAAAAAACAAAAGGAAATTGTTATAAAATCCTTATAAGAAAAGAAATTACTGGTAAGAAATACATTTAGTTGTGCTTAAGTACAGGGTATTTGCTTGCCTATCTCAACTATAACTATAAATTGATATTCGGTTGAATAAATACCAAATTATTTAATAATCGTAATGACTGTGAATTGTCCAAACATTGTTAGTAGATTTATTTAATTAACATTAAATATAAAATTAGATATACTCCACAAACAGTCTTTCACTATATAGGGTTTAGTCACCTTTTAAAGCAACGAATATTTATTTAAGCGATTCACACGATTTTTTTTTTTGTATTAGTGGTCTACTGTTACTTTTATATTTTAGTAAAAGTATGACTTCATATCTGATTCACAAACAAGTCTTTACGTGCCTTTTGTGTGGTCACAAAAAGTCGACGCTGACTAGAAATTAAAATTTGATAGGTGATTAAATTTTTGGAATATTTTCCACATCTAACAGTTGGGAGCTTTTATTGTGAAATTACCGATGACGTGTAGCTTAGCAATTAGTGAATCGCTGATGGTTGGAGCTGCGTCGAATGTCCAACATTAATCAAAAAGTAAGATCAACGACTCAACAATCAAAATCAATTATAATTGTCATTCAGTCGAATGTTTCTGATTGTTTGTGTTAGTGCATGTGCCAGGCGGCAGTGAGCACGACGCATGCTTATCAGTTCGCCGGCCGGTGAATGATACCGAAGTATACAATTGTTATCGTATCGGATGTGTTGTAAATATAAATGGTGTATATCGTTATTGCTGTTGTTATTGTTATGTTGTTTATGGGGCTTTCGTTTCGTAATTGAGATAGCCGTTGCACTTTAAACCATACATACATACATACATATATGCAATACTAATCAGTGCTGGAATATTTCATGCTAGGATCGATAACATGCATCGATAACTGAAACTGAACAAGCCCATAGCAACTTGTTTAAGCAGAGCTTTAAATATATTTATTTGGTTGAACTTAATCGGATACGAACAGTAAAAGCTGGCCACAATGAATAACCAAAGTAAGACTTGCAAATATAACAGGAAATTTACACACACACACACACACAACACTGCTCTTTGACGCACACGTATGCAAAATATTAAAAAGCACTTACTATGTGGGATCGTCTAAGCTTCTTCTTTATTTTTTGCTCAAAACGCGCTTGAAAGTCTATTGTACCGAGCGCTAAATGGACGCAACACGAATGACACAAGTGCCAGCTAGCAGCAACGGCAACGGTGAAGCCGATGCCAAAGCTCAGCTCAATGCTGCTCTCTGGTTCTCTTTCTCTATCTCTTGCTCTTTCGCTCACGCGACGGCTACAGCATACAGTTAGAACTTGAAATATTAAGTGTGCTCCGTAAGCTCCGTTTGCTTTTCTTGCTGCTTGTTCTGTTCTTCTTATCTTCTTGGAGAATTCACAAATTGCAAATAAAATTCAAGGTTGTTGCTCTCTCCCTCTCTCTGTCTTTCTCACTCGGCAGCAAGCAACTGTCTCGAAGCAACGTCATGTTTTCTGCTTCGCTCAGGTCTGCTCAGCTATTAACTGAAGAATTTCAGCAGGTTCGACTTAACAACTTCGGGCTCTTTACTTATACATTTTACTGCTGCAATGTACACACATACACGTGTATAGGTACAAACGTATGTACATATATGATTTAATCTTTAATGGAATCGTCCTATACGTATTTTAAGTGAATGTTGGTCTTTGTTTGGGGATTCACAGCGTACACTTTTATATGTATGTACATATTTACTTTCTCTCTTTCTATCTCACTTTTTGTTTTTATTGTGTTAATCGCTTGCTGTGTCAATATTGTCGATTTGCGCACTATAAATTCCAGTTAATTTTTATGACGACGCTGTTGCGACTGACAGTGTGCGCTGATTGCGATTCGTCACTGGAAACGCAAACGTAACTGTAGCAGGAACCCAGAATTACTCTGACGTCGACTTCAGTCGTCTAGTCTAATGATAGTTTGGGAATTAAACATTTACCAGCTCTGTGCTAAATGTGTGCCAGTGAGAACGATGTGAGTGGGTTCAGCTACACTTGAACGATGCCAACAAAAGCGGCATTTCTTCGAACGTCCAGCGGCCGTAAAGAAGAAACTACAAATAAAAGCCGGTAAAGGTCATCAACCGGAAGAGCGCCGCTGCGGAATGTACTCAAATACAAATACACACACACACACACATGCATACACATTCAGACTATACGTTCAGTTGTATGTATGACAGTCAAAACTGGCTGTGGCTACGGTCCGCTGGCACAGCTCTGAGAATTATTATCAGCATAGCAACAACTACAACTGCAACAAGTACAAGTATACGGATGTGTGTGTATGAGTGCCTAAATAACTTTACATATGTATATGTTTATGGCTGAGTCGTTTGCTAAATTTACTGCTGGCCCGATTGCAATCTACGCCAACTGCAAATATGGCCCAATTTTTTGTTGTTGTTCAATTAGTCGGAAAAAGCTGCCACTACCCATATGGAATTTTTCACTCACACCCGATTGCTGTAATGGTAACGGAGCAAGTGCTGAGCACTCTCTCTCGCTCTCACAAGGGAGAACACACGCACACGTACACAAATACTCATTCATTTTTGTTTTCTCTTTTGCTTTTTGTTGTTTTTCGTTGGACGCCTTTGTTTTCTGTTATTCATAAATGCAATTTTGCTTTTGCTATTTTCGATAGTCAGACAGGCTGCTGCTGCAACAGGCAAATGATAATTATAGAAAGTTCTCAAAACAAAATGTTTTATTTATGTTTATGTTTATGCAACATGCAATGTTGTTATGTGCGCTTAATAACGAGAGCATGCGATTTCGGGAGTGCGATGCGTGGGAGCAAGCATCAAGTTCGCTGCTGACGATGCTTATTTTCTCTTTTAGGCAGGTGGGTCACAAAACTCTGAATTTGTGTCGCATTTAACAATGACTCACGGAATATTCTCAAAATATAACAACAAAATACTCACTGGAAATTAAAAGAAATCTTTGATGTGCGCTAATGATTATTGATTGTCAATGTTGTTTGTGAAAAGTGTTCAAGGGAATCAATCTGTAACGACAATCTAATGAATGGAAACTATGCGCATTTATTATTTGCGCCCTCTTTATGAGTGTCTGTTAGGCTGTGTGAATATAAGTGGGTATTAAAATTGAAGGGCCGGGCAGGGCAGGGCGGCGCTCGTGTCTGCTCGGCTCGCCTTGGCTGCTGGCTGCTTGTCTGCCAGCAATGTGTAAATGTCAAAAGAAATGACCATACAATAACAGACACAAACTCACACGCACGCACACTCAAGTACATATGCACGAGTGCAACATATAGGGGCCAGCACATCAATTATATTATTTCTTGTTTGATACAATCGCGAAAAAGGCAAGGCAACGACACTCATAAACATATATACACACACACATTCAAACACATTTACACAGGGCAATCAGAAGCCAAAGTTTTTGGCAAAATAGACAATAAATAACTAAATATAATTCTTTTAAGCAGTGTACTATTTATTAATTTCACTTTAATGACGTTTAATTAATTGGCATAAAGTGAAAGTATTTTATACAAGACAAAATTCAACGTGGCTTAATAAGCGCCTAATTGGCGAGACTGAGGAAAACAAAAAGAACAATTCGAAATATATTATGTACATGCATACATATGTACATACAGATGTATGTTCGTATGTGCCTATGTATATGCCTGCCAAGTGACCTAAACCCGATTTCGACTATGCGGCTGTTTGCAATCGTCTTTTGCCTGATAGATGTGGAGCATGCCAGACCTACACACTTACACGCACTCACTTACTCTCGTGTACATATATATATTTACATAGAAAACGAAGCGCCACTCTAAATTGATGCGGGGGCGTAAAGAGTTAGCCGAGATCTATGCAATATCCTAAAGTTCAAGACAAAAGGGCGTCGCTGCTGCGTCGCACAAAAACAACAAATGCACCAGACTTTACACGCACACACGACAAGTTAGCAGAGATATGCATACGTATGTATGTATCTGCTTTTATTATAGAATTATCTTTTTTTTTACTTTTCCAATTTCTTGCAACGTCGACAATTTTACAACATTTTCACATCAAAATCACTGAGCAATATTTCTACCTTCCACTACACACACAGATACACAGTATATGCATGCAGTTTTTGCTGTGGGGACCATCCGCCATTTGCAAGCAAGTGTTGTATACGTGTGTGTGCGTGTCTTTGAATGTGTGTGTAGCGTTGTCGCGTCGGCAATTTTTTCTATCATTTTCGGCATCTTTTTTCAATTACATTTTCATATTCTTTTACAAAATGATAACTTTTTAAACTTAGCCAATTTTATGAAGATACCAAACTTACAATTTTTACAGTTGGAAGTAGCGTTATTGATGAAATTTAAACATTTAAATTAGCGATTTTTCTCCACTTGTGTTTGTATTATTGCTTTGAGTTTGTTTCACTGCAAAGTGTGGCGGTCTGTGTTGCATTGCCGATATAATGTGGTGGTCTAGCGATAAATTGTTAATACAACACTAAATAATGAATTGTTCAAAAGTGGAAGTTTGATTTCGATTAGTAGTTGCGGGAATATCATTATAATCAGTCAAATCCACAATTTCTACAATTACTGCAAAAAATACTATTTTTATCATAGATCGCAAAATATTGCTATACTATTTTTGTTTAAATATAGACAATTGGCAACAGAAAGTAACGTTAATTACTCTGCAGCTGTTTATCGATATTTCGATTGGAAAGAACTAAATGAACCTAACATTTTGTTTTCCATTCGTTTGAACAAACTTCGACACAACTGTTAAACAACTTACAAGAAAAACAAATCTAAATAACAAAATCTCACGCAAATTCGAAAGACCGCAGACAGCGGAAACAATGATTGGTAAATTATCAGCTTGGTATCGGGACAATGTCTCTGAGTCCGTGGAGTGTGTTTCATGCCGATTAATAAGTGGATTTGGTATGCTCGGCATTGGAGCGTTTCTACTCTCACAAGCAAAACGTCGTCGCTCACCTGTGGAGCACTACGCAATGAAAAGCATTGCGGCAGGTGAGTGTAATGAAGGGGGTATAATTGAAACAAATTCACTCATATTTGTTTTTTAAATAGTTGCTGGATTTTTGGGTGTTGCACGTTTGGCAGACGCAGACTTTTTAAAGGCGAAGGCGGAACCCGTGAAGGAACAGAAAAAAATTACAGGAGATCATCCGTTTTTTAAGCGCTGATGTTATTTAATTATAGACGCTTGTTAAATTTAATTTGTTCATTACATTTATTCATCGGCATATAGACACATTTCCTGGCTTCAGCGTCCCACCTTTCCTAGCTTGGTGTCAGTCTTTGGATTGGCAGTTAGATTCTGAACGGCAACAATAGTTTCGTTGATTTGAGTTTGTAGCTGACGTAAACTTTGTATTTGCAACAGGCGCAGAATACGCATGGGATAATCGAGAGCCGGATCGTTAGCCGAAACAACATCGTTGCCCTTATCAAAGGGAAATGGGGTGCCAGTTATCGCTGTTTTGTGTCTGGCTGTTGGAGCGACGCGTTCATGTACAATGCGCGCCACGGCCTCCAGCTGCAGCAAATGATTGGGATGGTAGGGCACTTTAAGCTTTGTGGCCAAGGCACGTACCCCAGCAATAAACTCCTTGTCGTGAACTATTTAATGTACATTAGTAATTATTATGAATTCCTAGCTCTATTGATTGTAACGTGTGAATCTCACCATTTATGCTGCCATTAAATATGGTTTGAACTTTTTGCTGTGAAAGCGTTCCATTGCTTTTGGTTTGGCCTTCGGGCTGACTATTGATTGATTCGTATTGAGCAGGATCGTCGAGGTATTCGAGGCGTATTGCATGTCCCACCAACCAGGTGAGCTGCTCTAATTGTGATTCATATGGGGGCATATTCAAATCACTGCAGTATTTCTTATAACCCTCTTCCCAAACCAACATGTTGTCCAGATTGCGCAATTTTTCGCGATCTTCAATTGTATAGAGGCGTATCTTTTGATCTTCTAGCCAAAGCACTGTGCTTGCGAATTCCTTGCGATCTGCGTGCAAGAAAAAGGATGAGTTAAGCGTATACCAATGCAGAATGCTCACAATTTGTATACTCACTGCTCAATGCAACTTCGCTGGGTGTTGGATGACCCAGCGCCTCGAGTTTTAGTTTTAACATTATTTTATTCCTTTAGCTAGTAATACACAATTTAACAAATTAGGAAATAAACATACAGAAAAAATCCCACCGGGTGCACTAAATAAAAAGTGACCATTTAGTATTCTGAATTACGTCTGGGCACACTGCTGCACAGCTGTCACTTATCGATAACATTCGGCTGCCAATAGTTTGAAATGTTTTGATTGTATTTGACAAATGTTTATTTATGATGGCAAATGATCCGTTGATTGCGCTTATATCTGAGCAGATACAGATTTGCATGCTGCCCAGCCTGAAAGTAGATCTGGATGAAGTTCAGACTCTGCCAACGCACTTTAAGGACTATCATTGCATGCTCGAACAGGAACTGCCCAAGTTATACGATTTACTACACAAAAACGAAGTTGTCTTATTACATGATCTTCCATACCAAGAGGTATTGACCTCACGAATAAACTGTGATGCCTCTAATTTAGATCCATTTATTATTACAGATTCGAGCCAAACTCGTTTTGCTGCTCTGTGAACTTACCGCGTCGCCGACGATCTACAGACTTAATAGCGACCAAGAACCATTGCAGCAGAATGCGAATCAATTGCTTAGAAAACTGGCTTCCAGTTGCAATAAAGCCGAGGAAAATTTTATTTTCAAATACTATGAGGAAAAGCTGCATAAGGGCTGCTGGAAGCGTCAGCCGGGCGCGGTGCATGGCTACGTTCGATACTTGGAGGTTGAATAATGAGTAATGTTTTGTATTAAACTTATATTAATTAACTAATATTGCAGCATCGACACGTAAACGACGTCAAGATGTCCATGCGTATGCTTACTTTTAGCTTAGCAGTGGGCCTTAATGTGCGCGAGAGCTTTCAGCCGGAATACAAACAGCTGGGCGTGCGCATATTTACACTGATGTTAAGGCATGGAGTAAGAATATAAATAAACGCTTCATATGCATTATATTCATGTAACTGATTTATTCACACAGCGCCCTGATGATATTCAGCAACTGAATGTGCATAGCGTAATTTATGATAATGTTTTCAAGGATGTTCAGAGCATGGAAACACTTAGCGGAACAATTTGCAATTGGGATTGCCTCATACTTTGCTTGGATCATTTCATGAATGTGGATGTTTTTATGGTATAGTGTTTCTTCCCGCATTTTCATATTTTATGAGTTAAGCTAATGCTTCGTTTTTTCAGTGGAATCATTGCGATGACATGCTCGAGCGACTAATCCAAAATATTTCACTGGCCTCTAGTACAGAAATGTCTGTTTCCCTAATGCATTTCATAACAAAGCTTGGCTACTATTTTGCCATCAATAAAAACGAAATCACAGCAGCTTTAACCACTGACTTAACGAAGTCAAATCAACTGACTGAATGCCTGCAGGTGTGTGCCTCCCTGAATGTCTGCACCAATTATCGATGGGCAAAGAGTGTACTGCAAATGCTTGTACTGGAATCTGAAAAGCTGTTGCGAAGCGTAGATGCGGCTACCAAGCTGCTGGTCGAGATGCAGCGCTGTTTTCTAGTGTGTGTGCTGCCGATTCCTCTCCAGGCTTTGCACGCCCATTTGCAAGAGTTTTATGTCAAGTTTGTTGCTGTGCTTCTAGAAGGCGTCACCGTCCATCAAGGCAATAAACAAGTCCAAACGGTTAGTTTAACTACAATAACATTAGATTTACTTTATATTTTTATATGCTAAAATTTTTTTTCCGTAGCTAACGCAAATGTTTATACAGATTTTCATTTACCAACTGAAAAACGGTTCCACGGATAATCAAACTCCGTGTAATCTAAAGAACTACTTGACTGCGCTGGAGAATTTATCGCTGATTATTGTTAAATAAACATGAACAAACTATGAAAATGAAAAGGTTTTTTTTGTTTTTTTTTGGTATTTGTTTCATTTCTTGAATTGATATCAATTTAATTTGAATTTGTGCGTGAACTGAGATTTCGGAACTAGTTCAAAATCAAATTAGTGGCAAACATTCCAACACTTTTCAGCACTCTTAAACAGCTGACCGCATCAAAGTTATTGTTGATGCTCCCACGTGCTAACGGCGAATACAAATATTTTTATTGAATATACATTCAATTATTGATCAAATTGATGGCGTTATTATCCCAGAAGAGGGCGCCACCTGCCGAAGACGTGGACGCGTCCTCCGCCTCAGAAAACGACGAGGAAGAGGACAAAATTGATGAATGCGATAACGAAGGCAATCCCGCTTGGGCAAGAACTATTGCTAAGCTGCTGCAGCAAAAGCCACCTGAGAAGCAAAAGAAGACAGTTCTCTCGCGAGCTAAGAAACTGAAGCCCAACGATGCTCAAAGCAGTAAAGACAAAAAGAGCTACGACTTTGAGATCGATGGAGCTGAAGTTGAGATCAAAACGGAAAAGGATATCAAAGAAGAGAAGGGCTCCGCACTTGATACGGAACTGAAGCGTCACCAGCGCAAAAATGTGCCACTGCAGCTGCGTGTCAAGCCCGATAAACAGGATATGGACCGAGAGCGTAATCTGCGCAAGGTGGCGACTCGAGGCACGGTTCAGTTTTTTAATGCAGTGCGCATCCAACAAAAGGATCTTGAACAGAAGCTGGCTGAGGCCGGACCGCTGGACAGCCGAAAGGATGCAGTACTCAAGAACATAGACAAGAGCAAGTTCCTGGACGTATTGATGAGCGGTAAACGCTCCAAGTCCACGGCAATTGACAACGCCGTGAAGAAGGAGGAGCCGGAGTCGACGACAGATGAAGACGAGGATGAGGACAAGCCAACAAATGGGGCTGGCAATAAAAAGAAATCCGAATGGAATGTGCTGCGCGAAGACTTCATGACCAACAAGAAAATCAAGCACTGGGATGAAGAGGACGAGGAAGAGGAAGAAGAAGATGCGAACAGCGCAGAAGATAGCGACGATGAATAAATAGTATTTAAGCTTTAGTTTTTAATAAAAAATGAATTAATTAACCATTTCCGCATTGGACGTCATGTAAATGCCCACAATCAATCCGAACAGTCCAATTGCTGAGCCAAAGATCTCCACAATTAGTATCTTGACAAATAGGGATGAATTGGCGGCATCCGCTAGAGCCGCTCCAGAGCCCACAATTCCCACGCAGATGCCACAGCTGAGATTCACTAGGCCAACAGACAGGCCGGCGCCAAAGGTGGCATATCCCGTAAATATGTTTCGCGTCATGATCTTACGATTGTTTATCACATTGTGAATCACATAGGTCTGCAGATTGCCGGAGAATACAATCGAGCTGATTAGACCGTAAATGGCAACGGCTTCGCAAAAGATGACAGATATAAGATTCTTAGTTTTAATGCGAGGCGCATGCACTCCTCCTCCGACAATGCTGACGCCCGTCATGTAAATGCCAATCGCCGCGCCCACAACAGATAGTGAGACGCACAGTCCGACGCCCAAACCAGCCCACATGTAGGGACTAGTTGTGTGAAGGAACCAGCCCAGGCCCGAACGTTCTCCTAGGCCGGTCATTACATTGCCCAGAATTATGACCAGAGCCCCAAAGAGGCACAGGCCAAAGAATATAAGACAAATCGTGCGAATTCCCATTCTTTTTTTCTTTTCTCAATTAAACGTATAAAATTAAATCTCTGCCTTTTTTTTTTGACTTGAATTTCAAAAATTTCAAGACCATTCAAACGCAGTCTGTGACGTCACAAGCTCGGATTATTTGCTGCCCTTTTATTAAATAACACTTTAGACAACTGAACTTTAATGTGCGTAAATAGCTAAGTTATTAAATAGTTAGTTATTATTCAATTGGTAGCTAATGCTGTCACATCTACCAATTAAGAACTGAAATTATTGCAAATTTAACGCCATATTTGAAAAGCGAACTTGTTCAATTGTAGCTCAGCTCATTCTGGCTCCACAAGTTCATTCAAAACTAACGCCTTATTTGAATGAAAAAAAAAAAGCGAATATTTAGGTTAAGTTTTATTGTATAGACGTTTTTCAAATTACTTAGGTTGTTTATTTTCTGATATTCATTTATCGTTACGATTATTATTCATTTTTATTGGATTAGTGTAATTTATTTGAAGTCCTTTGTTTTTACATACATATATATGTACATATGTATATTATTTGGATTTTTGTTTTAAATTCGATCAGTTTTTTGTTTGGTTTTGGTTTTTGTGTTTTGGTATATTGTTAAATTAGCATTTAACGATTTGATTTGGCCACGCGCTCGAGTTCATCCTTCTTCTTGATAGCATACGAGTTGGATGAGCCCTTGGCTGCATTGATCATCTCATCGGCCAGGCACTCGGCAATGGTCTTGATATTACGAAAAGCAGCCTCTCGTGCCCCTGTGCAGATCAACCAGATGGCCTGGAGTGTGATATAAGAATTAGCGTTAGGAAAATATGTTGTTAGCCCTACCAAACACTTGCCTGATTGACGCGACGCAATGGCGATACGTCGACGGCCTGACGACGCACAGTTCCAGCGCGCCCGATACGCGTGGAATCCTCGCGTGGCCCAGCGTTAACAATGGCATTGACCGTGACCTGCAGCGGATTCTCACCGGTCAGCAAGTGGATGATTTCGAAAGCATGCTTGACGATACGACAAGCGAGCAGCTTCTTGCCATTGCTGCGTCCCTTCATCATTAGGCCGCAAGTCAGACGCTCCACAATCGGGCACTGGGCCTTGCGGAAACGTTTGGCTGCATAGCGTCCGGCCGAGTGCGGCAAAAAGCGAGCGAACTTCTCCTTGACAGCGATGTAATCTTGCAGCGAAATGTCACTAATTGTAATTTCATCGCAGCTCCAGCGGCCGAATATCTTAATTTCGGGCCACTCATTGATGGCTGGCTGGTCGAAGCCATTCATATCGTTCTCCTCCCAGATAGCATCATCATTTGGCTGCTGAGCATGACCTGAGTCTTGCAGTTGTTGAGACTCTGAATTTTCATAGCCAGTCTCAAAGTTGGATTCTCCGAATTCAGACATATTCGATGCAGTTCTAAACAGGGACGAAAATATTTCATTTATTTTAGTAGCTTTTATTTCTTTTTCTGGTTTTTTTTCTTTTTTTTTTTTCTAAAAACTTACATTGCTTCACGTAGAAGTTTAGAGAAATTCGACTGTTTCGGTTGAAAGCAGAAGACAAAATGGGTTTGATCAAGCTGACAGCGTGACTGTGCTTAACTGGACTGAAAATGACAGTTGAGCCAATAGTTCGCTCAATTAAACTATAATTGTTCCTGTAGTCGATGTCGAGCAGTCGATTATTTACAGTTGGGGCAAGGCAGGCGAGCAATCAACGATGGTTTGAATGACGAAAAGTGATACAACCTTAACAATGTTGGATGTCCTTGATTAGAAACAATGTTGGAAAACAATTTCGATACAGATACTGCAAGCTATCGGCCAGATTTCTAATATCGGTAAAATTCAATCATTACACTAAATGATAGAAGCAGAAATTTTAAAGAAGTTAATATATGGAGGCAAAAAGACAATGGGCAAGCGATTAAAGTTGGATCACTCAAGTTATTGGGGATTGTTTAACAAAACGTATGTATTTAATAGCTTTTAATATGGAATACTTTCTATAGTAATATTGTTGGAGTACTTTCTAGTACTTCTGCATTAGCAGTAGCATAAGATTATACAGTTTCATGTTTATTATTTGTAGTTGTAGTTAATATAATACATTTTTTTTTAGAAATACAAGTGCCAAAAATGAACAAATAATATAAACAACTACATTTAGCTATATCATAAAAACACACACACTTGGTTTTTCTTTTTCGCACACTTATAAATTAAACTGATAACAATATAAAAAATAAATCAATGTAATTTTTACACAGCGCGCATTTAACGTATGATGCTGAAAATTAACGAAACGCGCGCGGCGTAAAAATTGTAGATTTTTGTAACTTTATAACTTAATAAGTAACTAAAGTCCCATGTTGTCGTGAGCGCTGCAGAGGGGGCGAGGGGTTACGTTTGAAACAGTAACTGCGTATATCGAGATTGTAATTTCCAAAAGATGGAACACCGTTGTTGTTGTGTCTTATATGTCGGAATGGCTTGATGACTGATTGTTGTTTTTATTTTTGTAGTATCTATTTGTTTTTGTTTTTTGATTGGGCGCGTGACACAGACTGTAAAAACTTTAGTTAAGTGCTTGAAGAATGTTGTATATCGATTAAATTTAATTAATACTCACGGCCACTTAATCCTTATCACCCATTTTAGCTTTGGATGTCATATATATGCCCACAATCAAACCAAAGAGACCAATGGCCGAGCCGAAGATCTCCACAATCAGAATCTTGACAAACAGTGCAGCGTTAGCAGCATCCGAAAGCGCTGCTCCGGAGCCAACAATACCGACCGCGATACCGCAGAATAAGTTGACCAGGCCGACGGCAAGGCCTGCACCAAAAATCAAATAGCCCGAGAACCAGTTTGTGTTCATCACGCTCTCGCTGGCGAGCGCATTTTCCATATTGAACTGCTCCAGCTGACCAGAGAGCACGATGGCAGTAATGAGGCCGTAAATGGCGACAGCCTCACAGAAAATAACCGAAATCAAATTCTTGGTCTTAATGCGTGGCGCCTTCACGCCACCGCCCACAATGCTGGTGCCCGTGGTGTGAATGCCAAGGGCGGCGCCAACGACAGACAGGGAAACAGATAATCCGATGCCCAGACAGGCCCACATGTACGGACTGGACGTGGTCAGGAACCAACCTACGCTTACGCGTTCGCCCTTGCCAGTCATAACAAAGTAGAGTATGAGGATTGTGGCCGCGGCGAGGAAGAGCCATAGAAATGTTTGCGTTACGACTGTGCGTATTTGGGGCGCCATCTTGCACGATTTTTGGTCTGTCTACTGTTTAAAACACTGTATAAACTCTGAATTTAAATGAAATTTAATTGCTATTTACCAAATTGCAGGCGTAATTGTATTTTTCTCGGCCGACAGGTGACTGCTTCGTGCGAAAAAAAAGAATCCACAATCACATGACGTACATTTTCTCTATCACAAGGTATCGAGTAAGTCACGCAATCGATATACTTTCGATATGTCAAATGTCAAAGAACTTTGACTTGAATTACTCGATAAACGCGTTCAACCATAAGCAGATTGCTATAGGATTCAGTAAGTAATTGCACTTGCAAAAGTTCAACACAGATGGCGTCAGTGTGCTGCGCGCGTAAATTTCAAATATCGCTTACTGAGATATGAGATACTTTCACAGAAATATATGCAAATTGCATTTATATATTCGTTTCGCTTTTTATTATCTCTGTCTGCAGCTCAGTGATTCGCACATACAAATAAGTTATGACATCCAGATTTTTTTGTTTTTTAATTTTTATTGTATGCATTGTATGCGTAAAATAAGTTTGGCCCGAAATACGCACAACAACCAGTGAAATTTACAGTTCATTGAATTGACCGAGCTTCTGGCTGGCAGCAGCAGCAGGGCACACGTTTAACAGCGGCCACGTGATAGCAACATAATCTAAAGCCACATCACCATTAAATATTTACACTACATTATAATTTTTGTTCCTCTTAGGCGCGTGCCCAGCAAACACAAAAGCTTAGCCCAAGACCAAGCGGGCATCAAAATGCTCTCCTTGTTGCCGTTGCCGTTGCCGTTGCTGTTATTGTTGTTGTTGTCGTGTGCCGACGACAGGCGACAACCGCAACATTCAATTAAACGTAATGTGTTGTTTGTTGTCCCTCCAAAATGGAGCCGCCCACTCTAGACATCTTGATAATAAATGTAAACTTTTTCACTTGTAAAATCCGCCATAGCATAAAGAGTGAAAATAAAATGAAAGTCGTCTTAAGGCCAAACAAAAAATAAAAGAAATATATATATTTATATATATATATATATATAGAGTAAGAGAGAGGAGTATGTGAGGTCGGGTGGTCATCGTCGTGTGTCTCAAGTCAAATATCACAAGAAAAATCCATTAACCTGTGCTCTTTTTTTTCCTCTTGACTTATTTTTGTGTGCGCGCTTTATCTCTCAGGCCCGACCGACACGCTCCTTGTTCATCCGCATTTATTTAGGCAAATGGCAAATGGTGGGCGGGCCGGTGCGGTGCGACGCGGCGTTTGCGATTTCAATTTAAGTCTAAAGTTTCCAAAATTGAAATTACCTAACAATATCAAGAAAATGGGCAAGGTTTGTGAAAATGAAGCGTTAAGATACTTTTTTTTTCCGTCACTCTCAGTGTCTAGGAAGAATCAGAGAAGTGGGTGCTGATTGCTCTTGACTACCTAGAGAGCTCAATATGTTAATCTGGCATTTCTTTGCTCTTTTTTTGATCATAATAATAATGTAATTAGAAATCAAACATAATAAGCTAAGTGCTTTTTGTAAGGGTTTCCTCTATATATTTCCTCTGAGTAATTTTGCTAAGTACAATATTTCCTCTAAGTTTTTACTGCTAGAGTGAACGATCATATGTTGAGCCCGACGGCAGGTAGATGTCGCTGTAGTCATTATTAAAGTGACCAATGAGAACGCTCTCTTCTGCAGTCGAGCTTTAAGTGACCAATGGGAACACCCTCTGCTACTGCAAGCATTCTAGCTTTGTTTTTAAATATAAATACCAAAGAAATACTTGAATGATCTTCTGTAGTTATAATTCGTCTCTTATCTCATTACGCTGCTCTAGAATATATATATGCTAAATAGCGTATGGACATTAATATTTATTATTATTATATGGCATAGTCAGCAGTTCATTCAGTTCTATAGTTCTCTTAAGAACAATAACTTCTACATAGTTTACCGAAATTTTTGGCTATTCCATCCTATACTCATTTTCTGTGGATTGTCAATATCAGTTTCAATAGGCTAGATCTAGTC